AACAACAAGGAGGAGGAGGAGGAGGAGGAGGGGGTGAAGTGGAAGAGAAGGGCGACAGGAGGAAAGAGGACGCACTGCATACCTCCACCTGCCAGTAAATTCTTATGAAATGTCAGTCACCTTCGTCTCTCACAATCAGTATGCCGAGCAGTAAACACACACACACACACACACACACACACACACACACACACACACACTTGCAGAGTCATTTATCCTTATGTATGTCTCAGGAATACATCTCCAGAATTATGAAATACATTTATGAAACGCCCAGGGAAACACTGAGCACCTAAGCCCTGATGGTGGAGTGTATATTTGTTCTTAGTAAAGATGATGTGTTCAATGAATAAACTGTGTTTTAAGTCGTGGGTCTGGTGTTTCAGCTGGCTACACTGACAGCTGCGTAAAGGTGGTCTACCCACGCAAAAAACTGATTCCCCGCAGGTTAAACAGCGACGTAGTTTGTTCCCGAGTGCGTATCGATGTTATCTCAAACACACACACACACACACACACGCACGCACTCTCTCTCTCTCTCTCTCTCTCTCTCTCTCTCTCTCTCTCTCTCTGTGTGTGTGTTGGTTGCCAAGTATAACGAATTGGATTTCGCGGTAAAAGAATCTTAGTTGTTGAAACGTAATGCTATCCTGTGACCTTCACGTCTCCCTGCGTCCTAGTAAGGTGGCTACGATACACAGAAATATCAACAGATTAGATATAAACAAGAGTCTATGCCCTTACAGTATGCCTTAACTTACATATGACTAGAATATATGCATAATTATTTAACCTAATTATATGAGCATGTAAATAATGGTGTTTTAAGTAGAAGTGAAGGCTTATTTTACTTAATCATAAATAAATGTTAATGGTGTGACCTTAACCCTGTTTGTAAAGGGGATTATAAAAAAATACATTAATGTGTACACCATCCTTACATTACTGTCCAATATTATATTAGTATTATGAATATACAATCATAACATACCGCTATAATAACATTACAATACACTATCATCATTATAAGGCATTATCATTTCACGATAGTACACTGATCACTGCAGTACAGAACACTATCATTACAAATACAGTACATCTTGCTGAACACAAGCTACGAACCACCCGCAGAAAACAACAGAACAAAATAGAGCGCTAAAACTATGTAATGTATGAAATTTAAAGCAGAGGTCAATAATTATATAAAACAGTTATGTATGTATCTTAAATGAACGTTAATAAAATGTAAAGGTTTTGAATTGATATATTGGAAGGAAATGAAACAAGTGGTTGACGTTAAGATGGCAGAATGTTATCGTGCTGGTGGTTAAAGTTAGGTTAATTAGGATACTTTAGGTTAGGTTAAGTCTTGGGTATAAGTTATGATAAGTTTAATTAGGTTCAGGGTTGGGTTAGTTTTAGGTAAGGTTTGGGTTAAGCTTACGATATTTTTGGGTTAGGTGGAGGTTAGGCTGTAGGGTATCTTAGCTTTGGTTAGGTTCACAAGGTTAGTTATCCTCCAGGTGGTTATCAGTTCGATATCTAACCTCATACAATCTGATAAAAACGACCACCTCACCTATATCACTGTTGATATTCCTGGGCGAAGTTCCCAGGTGGAGTTAAGGCGTTACACTGATATTTACCAGGTGTGGTCAGCAGGGCTACTAGATTTCTCATTCAGGAAGCGGCGTTACCTTCCCTCCTATGCTACCCTCCCTATTCCCTCCAGCTCCTTCTTCTCCCTCCTGTTACATTCCCTCCACCTCACCTTCCCCCCCCCCTCTTTCTCTAATACGTAGAAGTGGTTAAGCCACGCCTAGTGAGTTCTTACAAGGCAAAAGAAAAATTCCTTTCAATGATATAATCTTCACAGAATCAAAACGAGACGAAAGAAATTAACCACAAAAAGTGAAAGGACACATTTGGAGATTAACTAATAAATATAACCGAAATCTGCCAATCAGACAATAAATACCGTAAATACTCGAACTGATTCCGCGAAAAAAACAAAAACAATAAGCCTGTAGCTGACGAACACAGACAAAAAGGGAATGAATTCAATAATTTTTTCCTCTGATTTCCTCGTATCGATAAACTGAAGTTAGCGTCTTTGCCTTCCTGGAATATTTCTTCCAGGTATACCGCGTCTTTACACCACACGCGAATACTTTAGAAAGCTATGTAATGCTTATAAATATTTTCAAAGAACGACGTCTAGGTTAATCTAATCTATTTCAGATTAACCAAACTTAACTGGACTTACTATGTTCAGCTAAAATTACAAGAATTTAGCGAGTATGCGGCACCGTCTGGGATTATTTTTTTTTTGAAGGGGGGATTCTTGTTAAAAGTGACGAAAAAATTATCATATTTGACGATTTCTTTTGCGATACTTGAAAAGCAAGTGGAAATATACAAAGTTTGGAGGAATATGTAGCCATTTTTTGAGTTACGATAAATATAACATTATGAATACTCTGGCATTTTTTTTATTTAATGGGAAAATTGGGGATTGATGGAATATTTGGCGACTTCTTAAAAGGTACACTACAAAATATTGCATTTAGCATTATTTTATAGATTTGTTCGTAAGAGGCAAAGTAACTTTTGACGAGCTTCCTATTTCATTCCGTCTCCGTCGTTCAATAAAAGAGTAAGGGGCGGACAAAAAAAAATAGTTGCATTTCATTGTAAGGGAAACTTAACATTTACGAATGAATTACTTAGTGGCATTTTCTACCTCCAGTTTCTATCATTTTGGTAACTGTCTTATTGGTGGTGTTTGTGATAATTCGAATAAAACACGTGATTCACTTGTTTACTTAACACGTGCTGTGGCCAATAACTGAGTGGGTGGTAAGGTATGTCACACTCTCTTACTCTTTTTCTCTATACTAACTTTCTCTCTCTCTCTCTCTCTCTCTCTCTCTTCACTCCATCTTTCTCATTCTTTTCACTCTCTCTCCCTATTTTCACCCTCACACTCACTCGTTTTCTTTTTGTTACCCGATCTCTCACTCATTTGATCACTCTCACTGTTTCTCTCTCACTCTCTCTATCACTCTGACTTTAACTCTTACTCATTTGAACACTCACGCTTACTCTCTCACTTGATCACTCCTCACTCAATCAATCGATCACTCTTTTTGTCTCATGAACGAACCAAAAACTACACCCATCAAACTTTGCTTCAAGATAACGAAAACAAAATACTTTAACCAATTTCTATTTACGAACGCAGTCGTTAATCCACTTTAGTTTGCCCTTGAAAAAATACTTGAATTACATCTACAGAAAACGATATTATTTGAGAAGGATAACTTTAATGATTAATTTTAATAAACATTTTTAATTTACCATCTTACCCCTTTCCAGTTTACTGGCCGTTCTGATAAAAAAATGTCAATATAACTTGTTCATGGATAGACAGGTGCATGGAAGGCTTCTATTCCTTGACGAACCATCTTTCAGCTGCAGGGAGGGAAATTTTTTTTTTTGTAGTTGCGTCACTCACGTATGTAAACAGAGACTTGTGTCATGACTCCACGGGTGAAATTTCATTAGTCTAGGTAGGGTATTCCCCAAATATATTATGTTTTGATATCATAATGTTAACCTTCCTCCATACGCAGTGAATCAACGAGGTTCTGAACTTGCAACGTTATCTTCAGACTCTCTATGTTTTATTAACCCAAATTTTAAAGTTTATCTACAAGGGAAGGATGGAGCTTCTACGTCGTATACCACGTGTCAGTATTGCCACACACACACACACACATTGCATCACATGCCTGAAGCCACATGTGATGTGTTTTTCTTTTTCTTTTTTCACCTAAAGGGAAAATTGGAGTGTGCGTTACTAACTAAGTAAATCCCCGACTCTGTGGTTCCCAGTGACCGACCTGTGCTGAGGAGGTACCAATATACTGTACACGAGTTACATCTAACCACGCATTTTGGCCTCAAAGACGTCATTCCAGATTGGTTATTTCCTGGCCTAGACTAGTTTGACATTCCCCTAATTTTACCAAACTTAACCCAATTTAATTCAATTTGATTTAATATTTTCTAGCACAGTCTACACCAACCTAACCTAAACTAACCTGACCTAACTTGACCTAACTTAACCTAACCTCAAGACGACTTTCCAGATTGTACCCCTCCTAACCTAATCTATTTAACATTACCCTAATTTTACTTAACCTAACCTAAACTAAACTAACCTTACCTGACCTAATCTAATCTCAGCAAATTTTAACCTCGGGAAACACAAAACCTGAACTCATTCGTTGAGTTTCATCTTCCATCAACACAACCAAATAAAGAATCAGTTTGGGTTTCGTTTCAGTGTATTGTTAATCCACTGTAGAGCAGAAGTTTCTCTCAGTTGCATAAATCATCTGGCGTTATCTCCAATATGTAATAAGTGCGCTGCTCTTGTCCTGGAAGAGATTATTTACGCCTTAAAATAATCTCTTCCTCCGTTCCTTTCCCCCTCTCACAGCCTCCCTCCCTCCCACCTCACACAGCCTTCCAAATCTTTCTTTCTTTTCTCCCTTCCCTACTCCACCTCCTCTTGCCTTCTCTCCCTCCTTCACTCAATAGCTGTTAAGTCACTCTATACAGCTAAGGGAAAAAATCTAACCGTTATATTAAGTTTATTTGTGGACGTTGGTTTATTGACCCGACAAGTGTACTCTGCCATGCCCAACCTCGTCTTATAAACACTGCAGCTAAATAAGTCTTACAGGGTCTTCTTTGGTAACTGTTGAATCATATATCATAGTTTCTTTAAGGTTAAGTACCTGCTTAAGATGATGACTTTGCCCTTAGAGTACAAAGTCATATCTTGTTTTTTTTTTTCCTTTTTGTGAACGAGTCATCGCATTAAAAAAAAATAAGACAATGTACTCAAAGGATTAACTCATTGCATGTAGAAAAGTTAACATATTGGACTCAATGGATTAAGATGTCTTACTCTAATGAGTTTAATTCATCGTACTCGGATGGGGGAGATGTTCAGGTGTACTCAAGGGGGCTAAACTCTTGAAAACCGGAATAATGACTTTGGAATGCAGCGGGTAGCGTGTCCAGTTTTTGTTGGGGGTGGCATACGTGTTCCCAGTGACGTAGACATCACTAAAGGTTTCCTTGTCCGCTGACCACGTGAGCTTGTCCAGTGTACAAGTCAGCGGGTGCTCCTTTAGGTTAAGTGAGGCGCCCTCCTCCTCTTGTGGACTACACAGTATAAAGTGCTCAACCCTACGACGGAGCCTTGCTGGTGTTGTGACCTCATCTTCAGCCACCTTGTGTTCTACCGCGTCGTGGACTAGGTCAGTGGTGTTCAAGCTAGGTCAGGAGTGTTTAAGATAGGTCAGTGATGTTCAAGCTAGGTCAAGAGTGTTCAAGCTATGCCAGGAGTTCTCAAGTTAGGTCAGGAGTGTTCAAGCTAGGTCAGGGGTGTTCAAGCTAGGTTAGGAGTGTTCAAGGTAGGTCAGGAGCTATCAAGCTAGATCAGGAATGTTCAAGATAGGTCAGTGGTGTTCAAGCTTGGTCAGGAATTCTCAAGCTTGGTGGGAAGTGTTCAAGCTAGGTCAGGAGTGTTTAAGCTAGGTCAGTGGTGTTCAAGCTAGGTCAGGAGTTCTGAAGCTAGGTCAGGGGTCTTGAAGGTTGGTCAGGGGTATTGAAGTTTGCCAGATCATGAGGTCTTAAGTTAGGTCAATAGTAATTAAATTATTTCAGTATTTCTTAAGTTAGGTCAATGAATTCCAAGTTAGGTCAGTGGATTCCAAATTAGGTTAGTGGATTCCAAGTTAAGTCAGTGGATTCCAAGTTAAGTCAGTGAATTCCAAGTTAAGTCAGTGGATTCCAAGTTAAGTCAGTGGATTCCAAGTTAAGTCAGTGGATTCCAAGTTAAGTCAGTGGATTCCAAGTTAAGTCAGTGGATTCCAAGTTAAGTCAATGCATACAAGAGATTACACTCGGAATATTAACACTAAAACTACAGATAAAAAACGGGTTGTGAACTGACAAATGGCGAAGAGGCTAAACAATAAGATAATCAGTAAAATTTCTATTCCGCTGATGAACCATCGAAGGTTGGCGCAATACAGGGTTTGAGTCGTTCATGACTCACCCAAAACCTGGGGAGGAGGAAGAGAAGGGGAAGGAGGAGGAGGAGGAGGAGGAGGGCTGGACCAGACACCTCCCTCCCATCTTCGACCGCTCAAGGACACCTGACCATGAATTCAGATTAGCCCACCAGTTGGATTACATCAGATCTTTTTTGTGAGATGTTTGGATTAGGAAACGTTGTGTAGAGTTGAAGGTGGCAGCTGTGGCCTAAGGAAACCTGCCATCTTTGTCTTCTACCAAGGATGTGTGGATATATCCTCATTTGAATTCCTTCCACACGAGTTTGTGTGTGTGTGTGTGTGTGTGTGTATGGGGGGAGGGGGAGGTTATGCGATTAACAATGTCGGTAGGGGGGGGGTGGTGCAGCAGGTATATACTGTTAGTCCTATCATGGTAGAGTGACGACCCAGCCTTACCCATCCTGTCAAGCTTGTAATGGAAGTCAAAACATTAATTTTATTTTATTTATTTATTTGTTTATTTTTTGGTCCAATACACATATAAATTTGCTTTAAACAACGTGATAATTCCTCTTTAAATATATAGACTGTATAACAAGCACCAAAAGTAACTGATACTCTGCCCTAAACAACGTATATATTTCACCCTTCTTCAGATGAGTCGTGGACGGTGGTGGGGGACCTTGGTGGTGGTGGCATGGGTGACGGCGGCGATGACGGCGGACATCAGCACCAGGGTGATAGCGGCGCCACCGAACACGAGTGAGAGTAGCGATGATGGTGTTGGAGACGGGAGACTACGACAAATATCCCTGGACTGCAACTGTACGTATATTTGTCTCATCCCTTTCTACTTGTTATTGGTTCTACCTCACTGTTGATTCTCTATCCAATCAGTATCCCAAGACACTTGACCGTAGACTCTAAAGTGTGGGTACTGTGTGTTGTTTTACACGGTTATTGCTATTTATAAAGGGTTATTCTTCTATCTACACTGTTTTACCTCTACCTGTAATGTAAATCTATCCAATTATCACCATTTTCTTACTTTATTTTGATTATATAGCTAACTAAACACCACCCACCCACCCACCCCTTCTTTCCTTGCAATAAATTGTATCAAGACGTCATACACCAGTTCGTATTTTTTATTTACTGTTTAAAATCATCATAACAACAGCACAGCCAACAACACAAGCTCCTCTACGCCTTATATATAAACAGCCTAAGACGAATACATTTTTCTGATTTGATTCACTTTTCTGCTGCTGCGAACAACGAAAATTGACAACTAAAAGACAGTTCCAGTTTTCCTCATCGATTTTGCACTATAAAAGAATAAAATTAGGAGAGGAGAGAACATGTATCGGCGTCTCAACGTAACATATAAACAGCTCCTGAATTTGACTAGGATAAACGCTGAAGTATTGGAATATATGGAAATAGATCAACATGTAAATGAATAAAAATGAAAAAAATAGAATAATCATCTCCCAAATCAAAAAGATATTAGCGGCAGCAGTTCATAAAACCAGTAAGTGTTGGGCTGTCGAGCAACTTGGAGAATTAAGTTAGTTCAGAATATATTCAATGTCGATTAGGCGCCTGGGAGTGGCTGTGTGCGTCTTGCAAAGGGCGGTAACCCGTTTGAGGGTCTGGGCCACACACACACACACACACATGCACATTTTTCTTTTCTCGCCGAAACTGGATATACAAGAAAACGCATCTAGTTAAGGTCAAATATCAATACCATCTCGACGCTTTCCTAACCTAACCTAACCTAACCTAGGGATATGTATGACTGGGAGGAGAAACGAGAGATGGTCAGAGATTTTGTTATGTAACCGAGTTACTTCAGTGGCCAAGGTCTTGTGATCAGTGTCCACAAGTCCTTAACATTATCGCTAAATATTGACTTAAAAAAATGAAATATTCCTTTTTTTTCTATTGTGGTTTATTATAGCAGTTGTTAATTGCTTATTGGAAACGATAAGTTCGGTTAATGACAAATAGAGAGAGAGAGAGAGAGAGAGAGAGAGAGAGAGAGAGAGATGATAGGCCCGGTTAATGGCGTAAGAAGGGGGAAGTGAGAGAGAGAAGTCCGTTTAATAGCAAACAAACAGACATTAGACATACATTAGACAGACATACTGTAAATACATTAGACGATTAGACAGCCAGTCTGCCAGACAGAGGTGACATAGCTAGACTGCCAACATACACACACACACAGATTATCTGTAACACAATACTGGGAGTGTACCGGTGCGAATACAGTGACGACAGTGAACCAGTGTACAGGACTTGTACTGGTGTAGCAGCCGTCAGTAGCGACCACAATAGCTGCGTCACAATGTCAGGCGCTATCAGTTATCACTTAGGTATGATTGGTTAAATATTATATATTGTTTTTTTCCGTTTTTTGTACGGAAATTCTTTAGCATTTAATCCGCGCAAACTGTAAACATATGGACTTTCACAAGACAAACACTACATGGGAAGATGTCATGCTCGCTTACATTAACGTTAGGGAAGCGTAGAAACACAGGTGCAGTTGTTTCGTCGGAAAGCACCAACATTACCGCTTCTTCACAATTATCAATAATAACCAAGAAACTATGAAGAAACAAGTAAATCGCGTCAAATTATCCTCTTAGATCTGACACTGAGAGGCATCTAGACACGATTCAGATACTATTAATGTAAACAATGCGGATTTAATGCCGCTTTCCTGCGTGACGTCACACACCAGCAGGAACTGACACATCTTATAAATATTTGTATCCTCTTTGCATTTAGCTGGCGTTCACAGCATTAAGGAATGATGATTCAAGCATCAGAAGAATCCTGATTTTACAATGAATCCTGGATTAAAATTTTCCCAGAAGGATGTGAGAACGGATGTAGCTGATACGGAGCTTCACATTTCTCTACAATAATTTTTTACTAACGTATGTTAACAAATGCACTTACCTATCTTGATTACGAACTGACTCAAGGATAGTTACAATAGTATCGAGCAAGCGCCAAGTCTCTACGGCACAGTAAGAACAAGACCCTAACACGAAAGAGCTAACCAAATAACTGATGAGCGATGAAAAAACCCCCCAAAACATTAATTAATTAAATCAATGTGTCCAGTAAACACAAACTGGTCAACTGTATAGAGCACATTAAGGTTCGTAAGATGAATATTCCTCGTAAGTAAAGATGTAAGAGTGTACCTAAATGGTTGACCTAAGTTAACGCATATATGGCTAAAACATTACACTGAGGCACTACCTTATCCCTTTCACTACGGAGACGCCAATTTTATTTATTTATTTATTTTTATTTTTATTGACAAACTCTAACGGATGATTTTTATTCAGTTCAGATGGGAACCCGTACACAGGGTCAACTACCTCCACTAACTACATTTACGTAACATCAATTGGGAAATAAAACTAAGATTCTCTGCCTAAATTTTGTGTGGTGTTCAGTGGATGCATCTAGTTAAGGTTGTCTCAGTGTAAAATTAATATAATGAAAATTTTATACTTCATCTTAAGTTAACTAGTTGTGGGCATTTTCTTACATCATCAAAATCAAGAGATGGTACAGTATATTCGTTGTACGACCCTTTGTGAATCAGAACCAGCCCCCCTCTGATTCTGATGCTGCAAAGTCACAACTCCTGAGCACCTTCCTTGTTGCTACACCGACCACAGCACCTCGCCTCAAGCCTAGCCACACCCAATATTTTTTCTATCGTTTCCATCACTCGTAGCTGACTCACCTTTCGGGCGTGGCGGTCTTTTTTTTTTTTTATTTATCTCCCATTTAATAAGTTTTATGTACAATGTTATCAGAAACCTTGAGGAATGTTTTGGAGAAGCTTGGGGGTGTGATGTTAGCATAGTTTTTGTTAGGGACACAGCTTATAGATAAATAAACCCCAATACCTCAGTAATTATGTCATCGCGTGGGAATCACTTTGCTGAATCTATACTTTTACACTTAAACCTATACTAGTACTGATATTACCGCACCTGTACTTTATAATTAGAAACTTGTGCTTGTAAATAATCTTTCTAATTCTTTATATCATTCTTTTGTAGCTCCTTCGTGCTGTGGTTACACCAAGAGCAGCGTCGGGTGTCGCTTCCAAGGTCGGAGGTGTCGGTGTCCTTTCGTCATCCCCCGACCTGTGCCCTTCACCCCTTACGACATCTATCACCACTTGAGGCGGCAGCGACCTACTTATCAAGATGATCAGGATAGACGTTAGATGCTGGAGACGATGACAACGACCCAACTACCACGACGACAAGGGTTAAATACTAGATTAAGGAGGCAACGATGACACCAGACCTTCAACAACGAGCAGGATAGACGCGAGCTGTTGATGATGGGGGGGGTGGACACCATCCTCACCACACACAAACACACACACACGACCAATTCTCAGAGCAACAGTGGTTCTCTGCACTTATACAGTACCTCCGAATCCACTGTCTATGGCGTAAGATCCTTCTGCAAATCTAAACCGGAAATGGAGGACTGTCTTCATGAAACACAAACATTTGATAATTTGTTGCACTTTCAATGTTCCGCAAGCTTCTAAGTCTCATCAGTCATTATCTTTATGATGAGATGCTTAACCCCTTGTAAAAGTATCCAGATGAGAAATTTCTTCCCCCAAATCCTCAACAGAACTACAAGAAAAAACGTTTAAAGTCAATAATGCGTTTCGTAAAAAAAGAAAAAAAGTTGATATCTTAAAGTAACAAAGTATCACCTGTTTTTAATAATCTAGAACAGAAAATGACGAGAAGTGTTATCTCCTTAAATAATCTGAAACTGTTGTGAGAATAAAAAAAAAATCAATATAGTTCAACTAAACGAAAATAATGTCATTGAAATTCCACTGGTATAATTTAGTAGTTTTATTAGACAGAAGGTCAAGAGCGTGCGGGTCTGGCCGTTGTGTCTACATCGTTGTCGAAGATTTTAGTTTAATGCATTGAAATATTTTATTTTTTATTTATTTTTTATTTTTTGCTTTGATGAATCCTGAGTCGCTCAATCGTAAATATGAATTCAAGGTTTTGGGCGATATCAAAAGGCTTTATCATGTGCAATCAATCCATAAGTGAGTCCAAAGTGAATCCAGATTGTAACCAAATACTGTATAAATCCAGATATGAATCCAAGAATCAGGTAAACAATTAAGATAAGGTTTCTTAACACATCAATGAATCCTCAGAACAAGACCAGCGTGTTTGTCGATCTGTTTGACGAATCCGTTATCTAAATTATATCTTCTTATTAATGTTATTTCGTCTTTCTCTTTTGCTGCTCAAGTTTATTAATTTGAATTTAGCCTGGTTTCTCTCTTCTTCTTTTCCTCCTATCCTTTCGCCTTTCTCCTCCTCTATCTCCGTATCATTAAGTCCTAATATTAAGCATTTGCTAATTGTTGTAATTTTTTTGTTTCCTGAATCCAAACACTTGCTTTTGTTATCATTTATATATTTATAATGTCAATAAAATACCCTGCAGGTGAAATTGCTTAAAAGTCTTTTCTATACCCCATACTTATCATGTCTCTCTCTTATCCTACGTTTATCATGCTTCTCCCTTATTCTACGTTTATCATGCTTCTCCCTTATTCCACATTTATCATGCCTCTCCCTTATTCCTTTTTACGTTATCTTGTATATACTAAACCGATTCTGGCAGCAAGACTGATTTCAGATTTGCCCCCGAGGGGGCTAGTTTATTGGGCACCCCCTTACATCCTGTGCAAGGTGAAGCGCAGAAGCGTTTACAGCGCCCAACAGGGAAGTATGAAAAGTTCATACTTGCCTTTATGACTCGTACATTAAGGGCGTAAAAGCCTGAAGGGTCATAGGTTTTGTCAAGTTACATAAAGTGAGAGAATGATGAGTGTGTGGGGGGAAAGTTCCCGGTACATTTTATCTGTTTATGGCAAAGAGTGGCAGGTCCCTAGTGCCAGGCCTGTGACTAGGAGGAGGGATATCTGGTCTGGGAGGGAAGAGGTGTTGGTAACGGCTGGGGACCTATAAGAGGTCATAGGGCAAGGGAGGATGTAGTGAGAGAGAGTGTGAGAGTCGGGTTGGCAGCAAGACGTTGGAGTATATAAACACAGTAGTTACAGTGTTTTAACACTTTATTACAACTTACACCTATGGTTGAGTTAAACAGGTCCTCCAAGATTTTAACAATAAAAATAAACTCGAAGGAAAAAATAAAAATAAAATAAAATATAAGACAAAATAAAAAATATTTCCCACCCTTTTTTTTATAGAAAATAAGTAGGTTAAAACTTCATAAAGTTTAAATGAATTGAATGATGATCTTTTGCCGATGTTGCCCGAAATAATAACACTGAATAATGTAGTTAATATATTCTTAATTTTACATTATTCTTACTACACCTGTATCTCTGTCCCCCCCCCCCCCAAAAAAGAAAAAAATATATAAAAACGTCAAAATTTCCTGGAAGTATAGATGGTGTTGGTAGTGGCATACAATTTTTTTTAACATCACAAGTATCCTTCAACTAAATCCTTATCTTGGTTCCTTTTTGTCCTAAGTTCGGCCCTGCTCACACTACCCGACCAGCAGGATATACATGGATGCATAACACGATTATATACACGTAAACAAGGGGGAAATGGAACATAAAAGACATCACTGCAACAACACCACAATTTGACAACACCCGAGGACTTTACACTAACGAGAAAAATGTGAATTATGGAAAAACACGATTACGAAATTTTAAAACACAAATCATTAAGAGACAAGAAAAGGTATCTTTGGTATAAAACATTTCATTCACAAATCTCACGTTCAAACCATCAGAGGTTGAATTAACTCATATAATGAGCATAGTGATTATATCTGAAACTCTGTGTGGGTGTGTGGTGATATGTATACAGAGAGTATTAATTATATCACCTACTGTTGTGCTTATCTCCTCGTCTCTCTCTCTGATTTTCTTTTTCTTCTTTATTCTCGTCTCTCACCTTTTCTTCTCTTTTTCTTTTTCTCCTTCATCCTCCTCTTCTGGGTTGTCCTCCTGCTTCCCTTGCCGTCTGCCAGGTCAAAACTGAAGAAACGGAAGAAATATGATAATTCTGGTGTCCGGCAGTAACAAAGAGGTACAGGTACCGTAATTATATACCTGTACACATACCATAACAGTTACGATTATGAGTGAGCGCGCGCACGCACACACAAAAAAATCGCAAAATAATAAAATTACCTCCAACCTTAATATCCCAAACAACCACAACTACCACCATTCCAAATCGTAAATAACCACAACTACTAACCCACACATCAGATGAATTTGGTCTCGCATCAGCTGATCAACAAACTCATTAGTAACCTACAACTAACACCCTTTAAATTGTTCCTGGGTGACACCTGCTCACCTCAGGGGGCCGCCCAAACCAGGTGAGTAAAGGGAACTAACGAAGGCCGACATTTTTACCTGCGTGTGCTACCTGCACGTACCGGTCCCCTCACCAGGTGGTAAAGTACCTCACACTCCCTCAGGTAAACAAGACATATCGTTAATTACCTTCTGTTTAACTGAAAAGGAACGCTGAGATGAGGCCTGGCAGAGGAAGAAGGGCTTTAGATACAGCAATTAGGTGACTGTAACAGGGTGTATAGAGGTGATACAGTTATTCCGTTCAGACTATAGGTTGAGATTACAGGTAGATATTACAGGTAGATATTACAGGTGATACTGAATCCCCGTTTTAGCAGACCATTCGTGTACAGTTCACAAGTTTAACACTACTCTCTTACCTACTCCAATTAGTCTGTTTAATTTTATTGACTTATAATTACATACTGTACTATTATCAAAATACACTCAAGACATGACGTGTCTAGTCCTGTCCCCCTTCAATAATTAGAAAGAGGCATCCATTGTTTTCAGGCGCAGTTAAATAGGTGATATAGCAACACCTGGTAGTCTAACCCTGGCCCCTATAGACGTCCAGCTGGCGGCCTGGAGGGAGGAAGTGGATCATTATACGGCCAGTGTGTCGCGAGGTGTACAGTTAGTACCATCTATGTGTACCCCATACTACTCTTTCTCCTCCTTCGCCTCTTCCTCTTCCTTCCCTCTTCATTGCTCTTCCTCCTCCTCCTCATTGCTCTTGTTTTCTTCTTCCCATCCTTCTTTTTTGTCAATATTCTTCTTCCTTTAGTCATTCCAAAAGACAAATAGTTGCCTTCACTTGTCTTTCTCTCTCCCCGTCTTCCTTCCGCCACATCATATATCAACCTAAATCCCCCCTCCCCGCCCCGCCCACACCTCCACCATTACCCCCATACAGCTGCTGAAGCGCGATAACACCACCTCAGTTTTCACCTTCAGTTTATTTTACAGTCGCTGAAACGCCACACACAAGATGGACCCTTCGTGTACTTTTCTAAAACCAGATGACTAATGGTGGTTGTGTTTTAGTGTACTTATTACTTCAACTGACGTAATATTGGCCTCAAGAATGTACTTATCAACATGTACAATGGGCTCTAAGAGTGTACAGCTGTATATATATTCCCATGTACTTGGTAACTTTTGCACTTTGTCAACTTAACGGACGTACAGTTTCAGGAGGACTTCTACACGCCCCGTCTAACACACTAACCATCTACCTGGAGCTTTCCCTCACCAATTTGTTTTTGCCCAGTGGTCGACGAGCTACCTGGACTCCCCCCCCCAACCCACCCCCCATCCCTCCTACCCAACCCCCATTGATCAGCAAAGAATGACGTGTTTGTTTTTGTTTGTCTCACCAACACCAATCATACCTGAGACCTAAGTACCGAATCCCTGAACTACGAATCCCGAATACCTTGAGGACATAACGGATCTAAACTTGGAAATAATGAAACCTGATTTTTGTGATACTTGGTTTTTCTTTATTATTACTTGAGACTGTTATTACCGAGGCATGTTGGGTTGTGTTTCTTATAGGTAGATATAACTAGATTCTCAAAATAAGTGTTTGTATTTCCTAAAGGGATTCAAAAGTGAGGTTTCATTACTTATGGTTTAGTTATTTTATCAAAGAGTTCAGAGGTTCGGTAGTGGGTTGAAGATCACACTACATTAACACCACCACCCACAATATCACCATTACCAACACCAAAACCCATAAAACCACCCATACCCCCACCAAAATTACCCATTAGCACCCACTACCATCACCACCATAACCACCATCCCCAACCACAACCCCGATCCACCATCTACAAGTGAGGAGCGAGTGTGATGTGATACAGGTTAAAACTCACCAGGTCTGGGAGGAGCTGCCTGACGGAGGGATGGCGGAGGACGGTGTAGAGGGCGTGATTCATCCTGCAATATATTGGTTTTATGAGAAATTGCACACCTTCCTCTTTGTAGATTTCAGTTTATTCATTATTCAGCTATGGTGAAACTAATACCGGTGCTGAAGAGGGTCTTAGTATAGGATCGACATATACCAACTCTAAGATTTCTCCAATGTGGGTTTTTACTTCATTTACCAGTGTGATCATTACACTACGAGAATATTTATTAACCTAACTGTAACCTGTCTTTAAAATGTTTGCAATTTATGTGTACCCTGTTACTAAAGTAAATGTAATTTTCCTGTACCAGCCTCTAAAACCTAAGTGAACTACCTGTAATTAGTGATAAACCAGTTAAACTATCAAACAGGTGTACTACATGACTCGAGTAAGTAGTGTGCTTACCCAGGTAGTGTCGCGAGACTCCCCAGGTGTTCTACTGCTTTGATACGCTACTGAGGGCTGCCTTTTTCGTTCTTCGGTATACCAAGATCCTCCATGAATCCCCACCGACGTCTCCGGCACCCCACGTTCGCCTCCAGTAGCCACGGCGCCTCTCCTTTGCTCTACCGTGACCACCGGAACTCTCTGTTGCTTCCTAGAGGGCCTCGGAGATGCCAGAGGGCGTTCTAGGCTGACAGGACCATATCGCTCATTCGCCGTTAGTGGTGGGTGTCTGGTCTTCGTCGGTAGTCTCTCAGGGTATCTGGTCTTCGTCGGCAGTCTCTCGGGGTGTCTGGTCTTCGTCGGTAGTCTCTCGGGGTGTCTGGTCTTCGTCGGTAGTCTCTCGGGGTGTCTGGTCTTCGTTCGGGGTCCCTGGAGGTGCCTGACTTGTACTGCGGGTATTTTAAGATGTCCACTATGCCCACTCTCTGTTAGGTGTGTCTCAAGGTACCTGGTCGTCGTTGTTGCAGGGTGTGTGTCCTCTTTCAGTGGTACTTCAGGGTGTCTGGTTCTCATCGGGTACCTGTCCTGTCTGGGAGTTTCAGGATATTGTTCTTCTGCTGAAGCTCTTGCTGAGTATATGTCCGTTATTAAAGGTTTTTCAGGATATCTTTCATTTACTGGAGGTCTTTCAGGGAACTTGTTCTCTCTTTGAGGCCTTTCAGGATATGTGCTCGTTTCTGGAGGTCTTTCAGGGTATCTGTTCTCTGTGAAACCCGTTTCAGGGTATTTGTTCATTCTTGGAGGATTTTCCGAGTATTTTCTGTTCGCTTTAGATGTTTCAGGGTATCTAGTCTTAGTCCGAGTTGTTTCAGGGTATTCATCTTCGGTCTGTGACCTCTCAGGGTATCTGTGGCGAGTCGCGGGACCTCTTGGGAATTTGTGGTTCAACAAGAGGTCCGCAAGTAGGCTGTTTTCAGTTCCTTCTGCCTGAGGCAAGTCAAAACGTGCCTCGTCTTCGTCGTCGTACACGTCTAGGCTATTCCTCGAGTTCGTGACGATGAGAGAAGTCGGGGACGTGGTGTCCTTCCTGCTGGAGATGTCGGAGTTCCACTTATTACTCCAGTCACCGCCGTTCCAATCATGATTCCAATTTATATTCCAGTTGTTGAACCAGTCAAAGTCACCGGGACTGTTTGAGAGGGTGGATTCCTGGCTGCTGTGACTGGTGACCCAGGGGTCCCGGTCGTCGAGTGCAGTAGTCACGAAGGCAGGCACAGAGGACGGAGGTCTGTAGGGCCACCTGGGTCTGGGGGTGGACACTGGCCGCCGAATCTGTGGAAAAGATTCGGCTAAAAAAAATGGTGCTAATCATTCGTCTCTCCTGGGAAGCAAACCGAAAAAAAAATACCAGGAAAAAAGTAACTTGTTTTGAATCCTCTTTGACGGGCGGGGGGGTGAAATTACAAACATAATCCAATATTTGCGATGAAAAATATAATTGGGCGTTAATTTTTTGTGTTATTGTAACTTTATATTGTTGAGAATTTTGAGGTTCGGGGGAAGTTTGAGAGAATTTTTCGAGACATGAGGACTCGGCAGGTGGGTTAGGAGTGACGTGTGAGAACAGGTGAATGGGGATCAAACAAACCTAGGATAAGACTATAGCGAGGAGGAGTTAAGTGTTTGTACACCTTAAAGTTCTTAAGCCATATATGAATATAATTAATAATTATAGCAGTAATATTGATAATAACATAACAACAATAATAATAATAATAATAATAATTACTAAGAAATACAAACCATAAGACAGTTCAGATAATAGTTACTTCCTGTATATAATAATTAAACACAAGATATGAATGACTCACTTTTGGGGTGATGGCGGGCGGTGGGGGCGGCGTGGTGGGCGGCGACATGGGTGTAGCGGACTCCTCCCCCCGGATGACACTGGGCGGGATGGTGTCATAGTAAGGCGGACCTGCCATGTTATATACGTCCAGGGAGTCAGGAGTGAAGGTGGTGGGTGGCAGGGGCGTGGTCGGGGGCTGTTGTGGGTGGCGTGGGGACGTGGTCGGGGGCTGTCGTGGGTGGCGTGGGGACGTGGTCGGGGGCTGTCGTGGGTGGCGTGGGGACGTGGTCGGGGCTGTCGTGGGTAGCGTGGGGACGTGGTCGGGGGCTGTCGTGGGTGGCGTGGGGACGTGCGTGGGGGCGTGGTCGGGGGCTGTTGTGGAGAAGGGAGGGACAGTGGGCGGTGTACGGGCGCAAGGATAGCTGGTTGTGGGCGGCGGAGGTTCTGTCTGACCCTGGGTGGCGCCCTAACCTGTGTGAGGGGGAAATATATTACATAATGTTACGTCATACAACTAAAAATTTTGAATTAATTTTAAGGGACAAAATATTTATCGATCTTGAAATTATTTTGTGGAGTTTGATTTGTAGTTTAGAAATTCATGTATGTATGTATGTATGTATGTATGTATGTATGTATGTATGTATGCATGTATGTATGTATGTATGTATGTATCAAAAATCAGAAAGAGCAAGAAGTACAGACATAGATTTATAAAGTATATGTTGGGTTAATATTTCTCAACAATAATATAGGCCTCATATCCTATACGGTGCAATTTTCTTGTGATATAGACTATAATAATAATACCATACTTACTACTAACGTTAAAATCAACGATCAAGTGTTCTATAGTACTTTAACGATGAATGGTGAACAGTACGAAAGAATTGTTGGAGCACAAAACAGTCGCTTTGTCGTTTATTGAAGAAAACCAACACATGTATCAATCAAGGGATGACTGAAGTAATGAGAGATTATGGGGTATTACTCAACTGCCCTTTTGGTTACGTCAATTTACGGATATCCACGCATGGTTTTCCTTTGGTTTGTTAGAGGATTTCAAAACCTGGTTGATAGTCTCGGTTGATGGGATTCAATATAGATTAACACATTCGTTACCAAATCGATATCGAATTGGTATATACGTGTGTGGGCAGTTTATTCTCCAGCATCATCCACGTGGAATAGAAGACAGACGCAGAAACGAAACACAAGGAAATTCACTAAATGATTCGTATCTCTAACATAAGGAGAGCCGGCATATCAACACATTAACCTACTGAGGTGAATATCAAAACACTTCATCTTGTGTTCCAGTGTCATGGTCATAATGACGGCTGGTCTGTTTGAAACCTGATGATTCATATTATACTCCACGCCCGCAAAACATGTGGATAACTGGTGAGTTATCCCTAGGAAGAACGCGTTTTCCCTCTCTTTAAATCCCACCGCTGCCACCATTATAAGGGCAGGGATTTTCTTCTCCTTTATATTCATATTTCATACTTCTTTCTTTGTTAACATTCCTTCCTTTGACGTTCAGCAAATTATCCCAGGTATGTGAGCCAGTGTTCCCCGCCGATATAGTCATTCAGTTTAACTTAGTCAATTTTGTGAATATCAGTGTTTATGTTGTAACAGTGAAATTGTCATTTACCCAGTGCAAGAAGTACTATAACGTAAATGTCATCTGTCGATGCTAGACGAAAGATTGTTTGTGATTGAGTCATCATCATCCCTTTCTTGACGTCTCCAAATTATCTCAGATCCAGTGTGTGGGTTATTTGAACACCTCACCGGCTGCCCGGGGTCGGTGGCTACCTAACATAGCTAGCTGTCTTGGACGATGTCGCTGATTCGGCAGGATTAAACTGCTCCAGTCTGCATCTTGGGAACTAGACCCCAGACTCTCGCCATTCAACCGACCATAACACCGATCTTCATTTGTTGAGACGCCAGTGTTCTACCCTGGGACACTCCGTACAGTTATTTGGTCCACAGTATTTGTTATATATGATTGGGGATAATTAACTGAATATAATTATCCCATGTTGGGTAGTGAACCCATAAATTGTTAGTATCAGTATTAACGTGTTAAGTGTTGTGAGTGCATCCTTCATATGTACTACCAACAGTTCTAGTGAAGATACCATATGTAAGTTTGTCATGTTGAGTAGTCTGTGTAATGTACCACCAGTAATGTTGTGAGAAGCAAGAGTATCCACTTGGAGTTGCAGATGAGTAAGGCCAAGGAGTTGAACCTTGTAGTTGTATGTTAATGACATCTTTTACCTAATTTAATTTCCTATTAACAAACCTTTTCTTAGAGTATATTAGGGGTATCATTTTCCCTCAGTACCCACCTTTATTTTGTCCAATGATTTGATACCAGAATTACAGTACCCATGTGCCCTTACCCTCTCCATGCTACCAAAGGTCTGAGGTTATGAAGTAACCATGAAATGAAATAATTAGACAGAACAACTGAAGGAACTAAGACAAAGAAAGAAGTATGAAATAAGAATATAAGGGAGAAGAAGAAAATCCCCGCCCTTATACCAGAATGTAAAGTACAGCTTATGTATGTATGTATTGACTAATCTTTGTATGTACACATAAACAATTAAACCGATAGACAGACAGACAGAAATACTAATATTTTTTTAAGAAATAAAGCGTTAGTGTATCAGAGGATTGAGAATTAATAAAAAATAAATAAAAAGAAGATAAGAGTCTAGAAATCCCCGGGGAATTACCGGTAATCGTCCGACACACACACGCTCAAATGGTGCACCAGAGTCGACCTATTAAATATTTGTGTCAGTTACGAACGCTTGTGACATTTTTCTACATTCCCTTGGCTTGACTTGACTGGATGCCTGTAGATAAGGATGAAGGGCTATTGCTTGTTGCTGGATGGGAGGGTGGGGGAGGGGGGGGTACTTTGGAGGTATTTTTGGGGGGGTGAAGGGGTTAGGTTTCAGAAGGTAGTAAATGAGGGGGGAGTTTGAAGGAAAGTAGGAGAGTAAAAGTATCCGGGCTCAAGTAGATATGTTGCATTATGAAATTCTTTGTTGATCTTTCGTACTAGTAATTTAAGCACTAGCTCTCAGGTCTTTGGCCTTTTTCTCGTTCACGTTTCGTCATTGCAGACGCCAGTATTTCAAGGAAGAGGTAACGACCTCTGGCCAGGCTCTTTATGGAACTGGCTGAGCAACGAATCTTTTGCTTTAATAAAGGTGGGGAGAAAACAGCATGGGGGTGGGTGGGGGGGGGTGGTTGACGAGGCCAAGGATAGTGTCCGTTAGTCACTCTCTCTATTTTTTCTTTAATTGAAGTTTCTGTTTAAAATAGGAATCTTTTTTACAAGGAAGTGGTGTAGGATCCAACTTGCTACTTTGGTTCACAAGGAGGTATTCCTACTCTTTTTTATTTAAATTGAAAAAGTTGATGTTTTGTCTCGCCAGTGTTTTAATTAGCTATTCATTCTTTTGCGAGTTTTTGTTTTATTTTGTTATTAAATTGCTTTGGGGTTGTTAGCTGTACCTCGGTATTGGTGCTGGGTTGTTTAGTCTTGTTCTGCTGGATCTGAACCATGAAAGTTCTCTCACTCTTCTTTCTATTTCATTATCGAGCCAGTCAGTTACAGCTTCTAACTCTTCTACTTACCCCCACGTTATTTTAGCTTTGTTGTATATGTCTACATTTACTGCCTCGATGTTGGCTCTTCTATTCTGTACTTCGTTTGTTAACCTTTGTTCATATCTGATGTTATATACATAAAACGTACACATGTAATTTGTATTGTTTGTAGTTTTTTTATTTTTGTGCAAAATATAACCTTTTCGTGAGGATTCAGACTCTGGATACATCCCTTGACTGAGTGTGAGAAGATTAGCGCCTTTGTGCCACGTGCGTGATGAAGCTGTGGGAATAATACCGCCACATGTTGAAGGGAACTCAGTAATAACCCTCACTGTACCACTACGATAGACTTCACATTACGCAACTCTTTACTGAGAACCTGACTTGTGGGAAATAACGATGCCTAGGTAAATAGGGAGAAGTATGTGTACCTATGTCACAGTATGAACCTATATAGTGTGTGTGTGTGTGTGTGTGTGTGTGTGTGTGTGTGTTGTGTGTGTGTGTGTGTGTGTGTGTGTGTGTGTGTGTCAAATAACATACCAAATTTTTATACAGGCCCACCAAAGCAACAGGAGATACTGACCTTGGGGGGTGCCTTCCTGCCCCTGATTCGCCCCTGAACACGGTGATGGGGTGGAGGACCATGCCCTGGACGCCTACGCCTGCAAACACAGATATGCTGTAATTGGCTCACTTGTCTCGTGTAAATTGTTCATGTTTTTACCGAATATAAAAAAAAAATCTTCTCTCGGTGTAAATATTGTCTTGGATAGTGAATGTGTGTATTAGAATATTTATGTTGTGAACACTTGGAGAATCAACTCACATTTCAACACTCGTTTAGTCCGAATTGTAAAAGTTTAATGAAATAGCTGAGTATGTAATTTTTTTTTACTTTAGTTTAGATATTGTTAGAATTATGAGATAATTTGAATGCCATTTTTTTCTTCCCCACACAAATAATCAGTTCGCTTTTCACACACGTCTAATGAAAGTTTTACCAAGTTTTACAAATTTTCCCTCCAGCTTCCAACAAAAAAGATATTTGATTAGATGTGTAAGTCGCTAACAAATATACACAATGATAATGCATGAGCACATGTAAACCAAAGTAAACACACATTCATGCTTCCGTACACGGTCTCACTCTTACTTACACACACAAACACAAACACGCACGCACGCACACACACACACACACACACACGCACGCACACACACACTCACACACAGTAAGTCACCTGGGAAGGCCTGAGAACGGCACCCCAAGGATGGTCCAGGACTCCTCGGCTGTCATGGTCTCTATGGTCCTCACTTGGTCCGGCGTCTGGGTGGTCCTCCGTGTCTTATAAGCATTGCTCACCCCCGCTATGGTCCGGTACACTGGCGGGTACACCTCACTCGCTCCTGGATTGTGGGATGAAAGTTTCTTGTGTTGAATGTTGTCGAGGGAAGACGTGTACAGGTGGTCGGTGAGGGGGACGTCTGGAAACGGTAAGTCCTGTCGAAAGGGGCCTTCGTTTCGAGGCGGGAAATCGTGTCGAAAGGGAGAGTCACTTCGACGTGCAGCCACCAGCACAGCGCGTGGCGGCGGCCGTGGTAGCCGCCAGTAAGGTCCGATACGCAGTGCCTCAGCAACAGGAAGTTCTTCGTCAGCTCCCTCGTTAGTCTCGCCAGAATCTTCAAAGTCTTGTGGGTCCTGAGAATTCTGGGGTTCTTGAGAGTCCTGAGATGTGGCGAGGTGAGGGCGAGGCACCACCAACAGAGCCACAGCTCCCAGCAGGATGGGTGACACCTGGCAACAACAAATCAATCAAGAAAATTAGTATATTTTTAGGGGGCACCCTTACAGAATACAACTGACACTGACAAAACAATATACGTAACAATATAATACAAGTTTGTTGTCTCTAACATTCTTATCTTTTTATTGTTGCACAGCATTAAGAAATAGTTCTATAAACACGCCGTAAATTAATGCAAGATCATATGAAATATCTAATAGCTGGGACCGTCTGTGTGCCAGCTGGAGTGGTCTTTGTACCAGCCAAGTGGGCCATATTCAAGAGTTTCTACCTACAGTCGTCGTCACACAGCACGGCACCGCTAACAGAGCTCCATCACCACACACACACACACACACCACAGAAAGAATACGACACTAACGATGGGTAATAAAACGAATAATCATGGTATAACGGGAACATTTTTATGGTGGTGATTGTAGCGAACTTTGTGGTGAGCATGAACCGGAAATCCGAGGGTAGGGATTCTCAAACTGTCGTACGTTTTGTTTTATCCCGCGTAACATCACATTCAAGTTAAAGACATATTTTACAAGTTATTTCGATGTTTTATTTTAGATCACTTGTGTTCAATAATTAAGAGGTATTTAATGTATCGTGATGTTTTATTCAGTAATACGAATTAGTTACGAGGGAAGAAGGTTAATGATACGATAAGGTTGAAATTCCAATAACTAACAATGGAATTTTTTCTTAAGCTCCGAGTAATTAATGTACTGTAAGAACAGCGTAACTTCATCCTCTGCCTAATAATTAATGTAAATATATCCCAATTACCAGAAAGCTTCACGAACGAGCCTGTAGGAATTATAGCCAAGATTCTATTTCTTCATAAGTTAAATTCTCATCGTAACAGGTGCAAGAATAATGCCTTTACTTGTCTCACAAAGATTTAGCATAAGGAAAAATATTCATAACATGGAAATTTTACCTAGAAGACCTAGGCTGGCTGAATTTCTTTAACCCGCTCGCTTCATAGAAAACGTTAGTGTTATAACTTTAGGGATAACTTATATATCTGTTCTGAGACAAAAACTACAGTTATACCCGATTCATTAGAAGATTTTTTTCTGGATATTATTTAAGAGGCTCAAATTTGGAGCAATGTGAATTACGTGTAGAGACAGTCCTTTATTTGTGTGTATGTAGTTATGGATGGATTAATTTACCCCTTAATAGCATCACAGATTAATGGATACACAGAGATTACATATACTAACCTGACTGTCTTGGGACACTCAAAAAAGGACACGGGCTTACAGACACGGACTGGAAACATTACTAGGACATAGGCTTAAGACACGGATCGGACACTCTAGGATATCCAGGAAGTAAAACACACCTCGTCTGTATAATTACTCACTGCCATATGGGAGACGAGAGATCCCATTCCTCCCTACACCACCATATACTGCACTACAAGGCTTAATACCTTTCATTACGTATTTCTTCCGCTTCTTCTTATCTCCTCAACTAACAGTAAATACAGGTTCGTTGGCCCCTGATTCCTCCGTTAATATTTGTTTTTAATTATCTCGTTATCATCCATTCTTCTCTATTTACGCTCTGGATGAAAACAGTATTAAGGTTCACTCTTTAAAAAAAAATGGAGGGAAAATTATATTATGACTTGACGTTGAACGTTTTAAGACATAATTTCTTTTAATAGTTTATCGTCTTAAGGTGAAAAGTTTCAAGACTTCTGCCCCTGGTATCATCTGCAAGTCTATTTTATACACTAGTCATCGGACACTAGTAGTGAAGTCATCATACACTAAGGGTTATGTCATCGGACACTAAGGGTTAAGTCATCGTACACAAGTAGTGAAGTTATCATACACTAAGGGTTAAGTCATCGTACACAAGTAGTGAAGTCATCATACACTAAGGGTTAAGTCATCGGACACTAAGGGTAATGGAGAGGTTAAACCCCTAAGTACAATGACTTAACATCAGCACTACAGTTAATCTGAGTATACCTGTAATGTTAATCCCTGGAGCAAGATGCCAGAACCAGTTGAATGCAATAACCCATTCCCTGGAGGACGAATCTATTGCACACTGGAGAAGTCAACGTACTCTGGGGTTTAAGTAACTGTACTCAAGGGGTTAGCTCATTGTACTCATTCCTTTCTTCCCTTACTTACACCTTCTCACCTTGCATCCTTCCTTCCCTTCCATTTCCTTCACTCTACCCATTCTCACCTCTTCCTTCCTTACACCTTCTCACCTTGTATCCTTCCTTCCCTTCCCTTTCCTTCACTCTACCCATTCTTCCCTCTTCCTTCTCTTCCCTTACACCTTCTCACCTTGCATCCTTCCTTCCCTTCCCTTTCCTTCACTCTACCCATTCTTCCCTCTTCCTTCTCTTCCCTCCCCGCCATGAACTCATAACAGGGCGCTTCAAATATGACCCTAATGACGCTTCAAGTATTAGTACAATCAGTAACATCCTTAACAGCTGTCTATCACTGTACAAGCACCTGGCACTAAAATAACCTTACAATTATTATTACCACACTAATTACAGGAGGCCTTTGAAACACTCCTCCACACACAGCCAATTCTTCACAGGACAAGAGATACCTACCTACTTTACTTTAGGTTTAGAAGGGAGTGGTAAGAAAAATGGTCTTAATGTTTTGTGAAAGCTTTTTTTTTGAACTCATCTCCTGAGAATTATAATCCCAGTTTTTTTTTTATTGAATATTTTTAACTATATGTGAACTAATTACATCCATCCACCCCCCCCCCCTCTCTCTCTCTCTCTACGCACTGTAAATATTGACGAGACAAACTCAACCAGAACAATAGTAAATGGATCAACTTCATTCTAGAGAGAGTGTGTGTGTGTGTGATCATTATGTTCGGCATGTGAGTGTGTTAGTGTTTGGGTCAGTCAGCTGATCATGTAAACACTGGATAAAAGAGACTACGTTTAACTGTAGGGAAGGAAATTTTATAGGTAAGGAGGGCGTAGAGAGTGTGAGAGGGAAGGAAGGGAGAGACGGAAAGAAGGGAAAGGGGAAGGGTTAAAGGTGGAAGTAAGCGAGAACCGTCAGAAAGTTAGAGGGTGAAGGAGGGAAGAGATAAGTGATAGGGCATTGGGGGTAAGGTGTTGGTGGTCGCGGTAGTGGCGGCGGCAGGGGTGTGTAGTTGTATTTGTTAACTGCGGCGGCGACTCAAGGCGATGAACGCCCCACTTACACCAACACTACTCGGCATCACGCGTTCTCTCTCTCCTCCTCATTCCCTCTATCACTGTGGAGGAAGAAGGATAAGTATTGTGAGACGAGAGGAAATAGGGAAGAGGTGTGTGTGTGTGTGTAGAGTGAAATGCGCGTGAGGAGGTGAGTTTAATGCGTGAGGTGGGGTGAGTATATAGGTGTGTGTGTAGAGTGAGGAGGGGCGAGGGAGGCGGTTCTATGTCATAATACAGTAGTCTGACCCAGTAACTGATGACTGTACAATAACACCAAGAGCTAAGCAGAACTCTTATCAGCACTTAAGACCTATATACATACTCTGAGAAGCTGGTGATGTTTTGTATAAGTCTTAGTTGAGGGAAAGTAGCCAGTGTTGACAGGTGTTTTGAAGCCCAGTAACTGTTCTTGATTCTACAGCTTGGGTTGGTTGATCGTTCCATGGGTCTACCAATCCCGTATAACTATGTGAGATAACTACAGCGTTATGTATATGTTTAACTGTTTCAAAAATGGTTTACTACACTTCCTCCCGCTTCACCCTGCACCATCAACACACTCACTCCTCTTCACCCTTCATCATCAACACACTCACTCCTCTTCACCCTTCATCATCAACACACTCACTCCTCTTCACCCTTCATCTCCATTTTTCCCCTTTATCTCCTCCCACCCTTCATCTCAACCTACCTCCTCCCCCTCCCTCCCTTCCACCCTAACCGCACCTAATCGCATCACGGGGTAGTTTAGAATTATGGCAACTAACGATGACCCAACGATTAATCATCAGTAATGCGGCCAATTCGCGTCCCAAATAACAACAGCTGCGCCTTGGTAAGTGAAGTACGTGCTAAGTTAATCCGATCACCTGCTGTGCTTAAGTGAGCATTAATGAGTAATTTCATAGAGCGATGTGTGTGTGTGTGCGTGTGTGTGTGTGTGTGCGTGTGTGTGTGTGTACAGGAGACGTTTACAGTGTCTTATGTGCAAAGGTAACATTGATAATATATCTATGTAGGAAGGGTGGTGTAGGAAGGTGGTTTAGGTAGGTGGTGTAGGAAGGGTGGTGTAGGAAGGGTGGTGTAGGAAGGGTGGTGTAGGAGTGGTGGTGTAGGAGTGGTGGTGTAGGAGGGTGGTGTAGGAGGCCTGGCTGCCACGACCTACATTGTACACCGTGTTTAAAACAATAGACACATAATTGACCACTTTTTAGCCTATTACTAGAAGCAGGTTAACGGTGAGTCATGACGGTACCTCTGTGTAAGCCGATATGTGTGACAACCAATAGTGATAGTAGTAGTCGTGTGTGGCTCTTCCTATGACGTCGATCACTCCATGGTGTGTAAGAAAGGGGGCTTCATATGCACGAGGCATGACGAAGTAAGGGATCTCACAGCAAATATGGTGAAGGAAATCTGCCGTGATGTCAGGGTAGAACCGACCCTCCTTCCATTGGACGGTGAGAATTTCCAACATAGGACTTCAAACACATCCAACGAAGCCCGTGTTGACGTCAGTGCTTGGTGGATTCTGGACGCGGGGACAGCGAGCCTTCTTCGACACCAGGATTTTTTATCCCATGGCCGCATGTCACCGTAACTTAGCTCTCGATGCTGCACATAGGAGGAACGAGAACGACAAGATAAGGGCATACTGGGAGAGAATTCAGAACGTTGATCAAGGCAGCTTCACTCCTCTAGTGTTCACAACCTCTGGTGGGATGGGACCAAGTGCAAGATGCTGAGGTGCTATCCGAACAGAAGCAGCAACCCAGAAGTTATGTTACAGCCTGGATGAGATGTCGACTGTCCTTCTCTCTCCTTAAGTCGGCTTTGTTCTGCCTCAGGGGAACGAGAGCATCGGCCCCAAAGCTGACAACAGTTGCAGATATTGACTATGAGGCTACAGTCACTGAATGCCGCATAGATCTGCAGCTCAACTAACTCAACTCAGCTAGGATAGCTACTTATGTGTTAGGATATTTAATTTTAAGGTCATAAAATGGTGGCGAAGGTATGGCTATAAGGGGAGGATGGAGGCCATTTAAAAAAAAACGTAGTAGTCATAGTCAGTAGTGGTAGTAATAGTCAGTAGTAGTAGTATTATTAGTCAGTAGTAGTAGTAATAGATATAATGATGAGACATGACTGGTAGAATGAAAGATGACGACAACGCATGACGTGATCCCAGCGGCCAGTGACGTACGCCCGTTTCCGGTGACTAGCGACGTATAGGTGGGTTCCTGTGAGTGCTTATAGAACGAGTGTATGGGACGAGTGTATGGGACGAGTGTATGGGGCGAGTGTATGGGGCGAGTGTATGGGACGAGTGTATGGGACGAGTGTATAATACGAGTGTATGGGACGAGTGTATGGGGCGAGTGTATGGGACGAGTGTGTGGTACAAGTGTGTAGTCCGAGCGCGCTTTCCTCCTACTGTAATTTGATTTTGCAAAAATATATCTGACTGACTCGAAATACAACTTATTTAATTGACTCATGGCTACCACATAAATATGGATTCTCAAAGGTTTTTATAAGATAAAATTTCCTCTTATGCTTCGACACAAAAGATGAGGAACCGGTTGGCGCCGAGTCGCATCAAGCAACAACCGAGATGTTATTTGACGATTATCTGCAGTAAAGAAAAGAAAATCTAATATCCAGTCACAAATAATAGTCCCATTACACGCTTGAGTCTCCGAGTTACAGGAACGAATCTCTAAATTACTTGCAGATACCGAACGGCTAACGCTTTAGGAACCCGGAAATAAAAAGTCTTCACGCGAGCTTGACTGGTGGAGGAGCGTCGCCAAAGCTCAGTTCACTGGCTCGTCCTTATCCAACATCTCTGTCGTAACGCGGAAATATTCGAGTGTTGTCCCGTAGTTGAAAGTATATAATTACCAACCCTAACCTAGTTGTTGTTTTTATAACATCAAAATCACTAAAAATCAATTGGCAAGTTAAAACCAAGTTAGATCGGTGATTAATACATGTTGTCAACTGTCACACAAACCCAAAGTGAGTCCTTTCCCTCTTTAGGAGAACCTATATGTGTTGGTTCGAATCCCTTCACGGAGGAGGTAATGGTGCTCTCTCTCGTACGTGCTCCGTAACAAGAAATTAGTCACAATATTACGAAATTTTCTCCATCACGACAAGAGGACCAACCCGTAACGAGTCGCTCCACCGCTTCATGACTAGAGAAAGCGTTTACTGTACCGGTAAGATTAACTGGTCACCCTACCAGTAAGATCGCTGGTCACTGTACCGGCAATATACTTTGCTTTTCACTGTAATTTTGATATTTTTTCGTAATAAATCTTTTAAATCTGGAATCATCGGGTATAATGACGAGATTTATCGTTCATCTCGCAACTCACTTGATATCTCGCGTCAACAACACGCAATTTGACAAGCGTTCATCCGGCTCGATCATGGAGAAAGTGGTCAAAGTGAAAAGTCGTTAAAATAATGATAACTTTCGTCGATTTTGTCTTCTAACAACTATCATAAAGGTAAACTTTCTAAATAATAATATAAAAAATATATTGCTCTATAAACAGTTTCCATGTATTAGCTTTACTTTAAAGTCGTGTATTGGGATATTTCGTGTACCGGTAGAGCTGACCAGTGTACCGGGAGGTCTTGTTATACCTCTGTGTACCGTCGCGGCAGAGTTATCAGTATATACTGGGTAGTGGAGTTCACTTGATAGAAATCTTTAAAAAATGGTTGAGTTTTTTCAACCTACTCATGACAACTGTTACAGACGCTGGTATTGCCATGCCGTATTTTCTTAAACTGTTGCCACACCACTAACTACTACTATTACTATTAATAGACTACTATAATACTGTACTCTTGCTATTATACTACCAGCATTAAGCTACTACAGCACTACTACAACTACTGATGATAATACTAAACCACTGTTAAAGATTCGTTAGTTTTTTCTGATATTATTCATGATGATTTAAAAGACCTTTAATTTTGCCGCGGATATATATTTATGGAAATACGACAATGATTTGAAGACGATGAAAAAAATGTGGGGTTAACACACTGAAAACCCCCCACCAATTACACCTTTGAGAACCTGACCTAACCTTTTCTAACTAATATAAACTACTAATAGTACAAATATTACCTTACTTTACCAATGGAGGAGCGCAAAGTGATTCTCTTCGTGTGTTTGCGTGTTTTCGTCACGAGGAAGCTATATGGTAAATAAATACTGTACTCCCAAATGTTGTTTTTTTTTGCGCATGCGTAATATATTCTCCCAAGGGGGAAAAATACTGTCCTCTCATTGGTCAAAGATGATGATAGTTACATACTATTACTATTCATGAACTAAAGATTAAAATATTTTTGAGGACAAATTTTGATGCTCTTAAAAAATAATAAGGAATTGCTTAGTTATAAAGACTAAGGATATTTACCTGCATAACATATGACTTGGTAAGGTTAGGTAAGGTTAGGTGTAGGTTAGGTTAGAGTAAAACTGAATTGATCCCGTTCACATTTCTAACTGTAAAGTTGGGTTAGGTTGAATGCAGTTGAGCTGGGTTAGGTCGTTGATGATATTGTCTAGCTAAATTAATATAAAATAATACAAAAAAATTCACGTATAGATGAGGTCACAGTCACAGCAACGTTCAGGTCACAGTCACAACAAAGGTCAGGTCACAGTCACAACAAAGGTCAGGTCACTCACAACAAAGGTCAAGTCACTCACAACAAAGGTCAGGTCACTCACAACAAAGGTCAGGTCACTCACCTTCATAGCTCCGTCAGGTGAGGCAGAGAAGACCAGTCACTAATGCACGAGGGTGATATATAATTTTCGGCCTCACTCTCAAAACTCGTTCTCAGTACCTACCACATGCTGTACTGATCTACTTGTTTAAAATTAATTTTACTTCACTATAAATTAAATACCTGATAAATTTTTCCTTAACTAGAGATCTTCAGGTCACATGATAGAAAGATTTAACTAATAATGTTTTGTATAGTCTACGAAACAGTAAAAAAAACGTCAATTTAGACTTTTATAAATTTAGGATTTGTTTCATTTGTAACAACCGGGAACTTGGGTTACAGTTAACACTACCGTGAACTTTGAGGTAGCGATTCGATAACTGGAGGTGAGAACGACGCGTCCATCCACTGAGCGTGCCGAGACCCAACTGAGGTAACGGAGCTGTAGTAACTTGTTATAGGTGACCGCTACTCCAGGTGCGAGTGTGTCAGGGGGGACAGCAAGGGATATCCTCTGTACTTCTTGGCGTGCACAGAGAAGGCGAGACTGATTAGCTTCAGTATTTCCAGTAGGTTTTGAAGAGAAGTTTTTTACTTGTGTGAACAACTCAGAATTTTATATTACTGTTTAATGACTTCTCAGTGCAAAGGTAATCACAGGACTAAAGCCTTGATATTGATATTGAAACAGTGTCGATAATAATAACAATATTAACATGGCTGAGCCAGTTGAGAGCCTGAGCTCTCTTGAAGGCATCTGATATATACTATACAATTATCTCAAGGGAGTATTATGTAACATTCAGTATCACCTGAAATAGTACACGTAACATGGTGGTAGTAAGAACATATCAGAATGTATCACGGTTATTACTTCGTTATCTATTTTATTTATTTTTTACATTTATATTATAAATATATACATATTTTACGGTGGTGTTGATATACATACAGGGTAAATATGATTAGGGGGGAAGCAGTACAACATGGATTGAAACAAGAGGACAGAGCTGTTAGTATCATTTGTAGTCGGCAAATATAATTAGTGCAATGGTAATTTCTATCTGTCTCCATGACAACAATACCTAGATAATATATATGTTTTAAGAGATGATTTAGAGAAAGGGAGCGTAGTCTTTGCTGGGATGGGTAGGGAAAGTTGTTCCACACCTTCACACCATGATATTTTATGAAGGTCTGGTACTGAGAGGAGCGCATGGGGTCTTAATAGCTCTGGGTGCCTTAAGTTGTATCTCTGATTATTCCGGAACTGGAAATAATTATTGTTAATCAAGTGACTGACAGATTTGTAAACAAATAAGACACAGGAGTAAGTGTTAATATCCTCGAATTTTAACATTTTCAATTTAGCAAATTGTTCGTTAGTGTGATCTTTTTTTCTTCAAGTGGGTCATTGTCCGCACAAATCTCTTCGGTGCAGCAATCGGGGGTAGTGTTTTTGAAGAGTCAGTGACAGTGTGTGACAATGTATCAAGTGTTGGTAAACAAGATCATAATAGATTTCTTTCATTGCTACAGAGTGAGTGACGGACGAGTGTGATACAGGATACCGCACGTTTATTGATTTTACTGTGAATGACTTGAATGTGGTATCTCCAGCTAAGTTTCTTATCAACAACAACCTCAAGGAATTTAGTATTTTGTTCAGGTTTTCCTTCCGTGAAAAATTATGTAGTGATTTTTTTTTCGAGGTTTAAGGTCAGTTCATTAGGTATTACCCAAGTCCTGACTTTAGTCAATTCAGTGTTCATAGTTCTCATCAAGGAATGAAGATCTGAGTTGCTGACATAGAGATTTCTATCATCTGCAAATAAGTTGTATTTTATGAGTGTGCTGGAGTGGACTATGTCGTTTATGTACAACAAAAACAGTACAGGACCGAGAATGAAGCCTTGAGGGACACCATACAAAATTGGTGAGGAGTCAGATTGATGATTATTATAGCAGACATACTGCTTCCTGTTAGATAGATATGAGGAAAACCAATTGTGGGATAAGCCTCTAACGCAGTAATGTTCAAGCTTTGACAGGATGATGGTATGGTCGACAGTATCAGAGGCTTTAGAGAGGTCCAGGAATATTCCGACTGTGAAATGACTGTCATCAAACGAGTTTAAAATGTCCTTAGCAAAATATAGCAGAGCACTCTCAGTTGACCTTCTCGCTCTAAATCCAAACAGAGTCTGTAAGGATGTTATTGACCCTGCAGAAGGAATTTAGTCTACTACTTGTTAGATTCTTCAGTATCTTCGTCCAATACACGAGATTAAATCAACAAACACACCAAAGGGGCCCAAATTATAAGACTTATTAATAAGATTTACCAATAAAGTGTACGAGTCGATATTAATTACCCCAGTATCTATATAATTATTATTTCCCGCTTAATCTTCTTTCGTCCTCGTCTTCCAGAAGGACTCACGGGACAGTGATGCACACAGCAGCACTATGCCTTCGGTACACAAGGCGATGTAGGTGTACTTGCGGTACCTCAGCGCAAACCAGAGACCTGTAGGACAGAAGGCGAGCGCTGGGCCTCCACACGCTGGTCTGAGTTCGCTTGGTTTTGATAGTTTCTGTTTAAGTTTTCTAGGTTAATCATAATTTTGTCATCACGCCTCGTGTGTGTCAGCCGTAGGGATGTTCTGTTCATGTTCTTCACTACAGAGCGTCCCTGAGAGTGCTTGCTTGCTTGATTTGTTTTGCTGGCCGTCAACATCTTCAAGTCATTACGGCGGCCGACTGAGTGGTAGAGCGAGTAACACTATCAACAAGTGCCTGGTCTATTTCCAAAACTCAGAACACCAGGTGCGGGCATTTTATTAATTATATACTGGCATCTATCATTTTATGAGAAGTTGCAGAGTGTTGCAACAGGTCTCTACATTTCTGAGAAGCGACCCTATTCCAAGCTGAGTTCAAACGGAAGTGCTGGGAACTTGGGACCCGGTGGCGCTACATCAGGAGCTACACACAGCGCCACATTAATTATCTCTGGTTGGTGGCTGTTTGAACCTTGGCCAGACTCAAATGTTTCAGTGGATAGATTTACAGCTAATAATGTTCCTAATTGCTTTAAACCTTTTTAAAGAATTTAAAATATTGCATTGAAGAAATAATATTATAATTTCGAAGGGAATATTTTTTCTTGTGTTGCAGTTAACTGGAAATGTATAGAGAAGACGTAATATAGAAGTAAATATTTGTGTTTTTTTTTTACATTGTGAAGATTTGTGTACAGCTTATTAAACCTGTAGGTATTAATGTGTTTTCTATGAAAAGTGTAAATAACGTGTTAAACTGTATTTCTTCCATACATAAGCTATGTAAATAACATGAAAATGTGTAAATATTTCTTCTCTTTACATATGCCGTGTAAATAAAAAGTTTTTACATAAACCAACACCAAAAGAGCATCTTACGTAGAGCTGTTAGAGGTATTTATGTACCAAGTAGGTCATGATCAAGTTGGTCCACCTAACACTGATAATACGTATGTATGTGATCGTTAACACTGTTAACGAGTTACCGTCTTGTTGTAGACGGGTGTACAGTATGTGTGACTAATATATGTTTTATTAGTAAGGGAACTCTACATATGTAATGATCAGTGTTCCCTTAAACTGACATAAACGTATGGGAACGTTTCACTAATGTAAGCTATGACGGTTCGGGAACTGAGTAAAAACGCGACCTAAACAAATGGATTAAAGAATGAGGAAGGTCTTTATTGTACTTCTGTTTATTCTCATTTAAATTATTTGGTATTCAGTAATTCTCAATGGGTCACTGCCTCCCTGGTAACCACAGTTACTTAGTTTTATATAAATATTTTCCAGATACGAATTTAGAATAAAACAATATAAAATACCCACCTTCGTCAACACAACAATTACAGTCACAGTCAACACAAAGCTCTTTAATTGCATATAAAGTAGACAAAATAATGATAGTGGTCACCTTGGGCAGGTGAAGAACTTGCAGTCAAATATGTTACGCAGCCTAGACAAGTTGAGAAGAAAAGGATATGTAAGTTATCACCGCTAACACTGACGACGATACAGAGACAACGGCCACGACAGTCACAGGCGACGATGGCGACAACGACATAATCATGAACGACTACGAAAAAAAAGTCACAGACGACAAAGACAACTGTCACAGACTATGATAGTGACGTACCCAGACAGTCACAGACGACAAAGACAACTGTCACAGACTATGATAGTGACGTACCCAGACAGTCACAGACGACAAAGACAACTGTCACAGACTATGATAGTCACGTACCCAGACAGTCACAGACGACAAAGACAACTGTCACAAACTATGATAGTCACGTACCCAGACAGTCACAGACGACAAAGACAACTGTCACAGACTATGATAGTCACGTACCCAGACAGTCACAGACGACAAAGACAACTGTCACAGACTATGATAGTGACGGAGACATACAGTCACAGACGACAAAGACAACTGTCACAGACTATGATAGTCACGTACCCAGACAGTCACAGACGACAAAGACAACTGTCACAGACTATGATAGTCACGTACCCAGACAGTCACAGACGACAAAGACAACTGTCACAGACTATGATAGTCACGTACCCAGACAGTCACAGACGATAAAGACAACTGTCACAGACTATGATAGTCACGTACCCAGACAGTCACAGACGATAAAGACAACTGTCACAGACTATGATAGTCACGTACCCAGACAGTCACAGACGATAAAGACAACTGTCACAGACTATGATAGTCACGTACCCAGACAGTCACAGACGACAAAGACAACTGTCACAGACTATGATAGTCACGTACCCAGACAGTCACAGACGATAAAGACAACTGTCACAGACTATGATAGTCACGTACCCAGACAGTCACAGACGACAAAGACAACTGTCACAGACTATGATAGTCACGTACCCAGACAGTCACAGACGACAATGGCCGAGAGAAAAGGACGACAGTCGCAGACGCTGGGGTGACAACTTCAGCATTCTGTTGTTACAGTAACGAGCGAGGAAAGTGAAGGAATACCATCCGTGCAAGATTGTTGGTGTTGTAACACTGGTAGACCAAGGTATCATAAACACTGGTGAGTTGATGTTACCAGAGGTTAGTTTTGGCTTGTTTAAGTAACATTAGTTAATATTAGGATGAAAGGGATAGTGGCTCCTGTCGCCATGAATACCCGTTACCGACAGTGTGGATACAGCAAACTATACCGCACTCAACGCCATCACTTCCAAACTGTAAAGTCAGGTCAGGTCCCCGTTTACACCTGGGTGGACTAAGAGTGCCACGGATCTAACAAGCGGCCCTGTTGTCAGGCTAAATTGATTTATTGAAGGTTAATTAATGGGATACGTATGGTCAACTTT